AGTCCTGAGGTTTTAAAAACACTTTCTTCACTTTAGTTGGCTTCAAGTTCCCATTTTCATCTTCCTCAAAATTGGCCCGGTCTCTTTTCTTGGCAAACTTCTTTCCGATTGTCCCCACGAGGGTCTCATACCGTCTAGCCATTTCTTCATCTGACACGTCAAGCGCCATTGCTCCATCTTCAATTTCTTCATCCTTATTCTTCGAGTTCATCTGAAGCATTAATTTCTCAACCTCAGGATTAAATCCTTTGAATGACATTCTTCCGTAGAGAAGATTCTCGCATAATGAGAAGCTCTGCTCTTCAATGATGACACTCTCTTTCTCTTTAAGCTCTGGCAAATCCAAGTACCAATGCTCTTCACTGATCATTTTCTTTTCCTCCTCTTCTAGCTGCTTCTTGGTTTCTGAGTCTAGTCCTCTTTGCATGAACTTCATGTGCAGCAGGTTTTTTGACAACTTAGGCGTGTGCGGGGAAGCCATGACTTGTGCGCTGCGAGCCGGTTGGGAACCTCCCAGGAGTAGCTTTTAAGAACAAAAAAGATATATATCTTTTGTTTAAACTGTTGTTTAAAAGAGGTGAAGGTCACCACAACAAGATAAAGGTAAACAATCCAATTGAAAAATGGGCACAGGATACGAACAGACACTTCACCCTAGAAGACATTCAGATGACCAACAAGCACACAAAGAAATGTTAAAAATCCCTAGCTCTAAGAGAGATGCAAATCAAAACAACTATGAGATATCATCTCACCCCAGTCAGAATAGCAAAATTTAATAGAACAAGCAAGCAACAATGCTGGCGAGGTTGTGGAGAAAATGGAATCCTTATTCACTCTTGATGGGAGTGTAAAATGGTGCAACCACGGTGGAAGGTGGTGTGGCACTTTCTCAAAAAATTGCAAATAGAGATACCATTTGACCCAGCAATTCCACTACTGGGAATATACCCCAAAGAGACCATAACTGACATCCAAGAAAATATATGAACACCCATGTTTATCACAGCTTTGTTCATGATAGCAAGGAGTTGGAAAGGACCTAAGTGCCCATCAACAAACGAATGGATAGAGAAGCTGTGGTATATTCTATGGGAAGCTAAACTTTACATTATATGAAAATCTTTGTTCAGGAATTGAAGGAATTGCAGATTTATAAGTTAGGATTTCTCTTGTGGCAGATCCCAGAAAATAACCTGTTTAAGATATATCTTCCCCAGTAAAATACCAAATAGAGTCTGGTTGGAATCTTTCATAAGCCAAAGATACAAGACTCTCTCAGCCTGATTCCAATGATACCAAGTAGAACATCAACTTTTTAAAAAATAAAATCTTGCTGTGATTATCTCTTCCTCTTCTGCAAATTCTCGAGACAGACAAGAATCAACCCACAAGGGTCAGGCTGTCACTACTGAAATCTCAGTAGTCTTTCCATGACAGAATATCCTGAGTGAAGCAAAATGTCATCTACTCTCACCACTGTCCATCCTTGGAAGCAACACCGTTCTTCCCAACACAGAAAGAATGACATTTCAGCTGCTCATCTCCTCCCCCAAGTCCTTTCATCTTCTGCCTCTCTGCCTGCCATCTCTTCAGTTTTGCTTTTTCACATTTTCAGACTGATTGATAGAGGAAAAAAAGGAGGAGAATTCTCTTCCTAGAGGCTGATTCAAAGACTAACAAAGCCATGTTTAGTGAGAGAGAGCAAATGCAGATGGGTACATTGTCCTGCAATGTATGCCATGCTGTTGGTATTAGTTACTTCTTCAAGGTAATAATAGTAGGCTAAATTATGTACAGGACCTGGAGAGGAATACACACAAATTCTACCCAAGTAAAGTGTATTAAAATATGTTGTTGTTATTGATGTTATATGCCATCGAGTCACCTGCGATTCACAGTGACCCTATTTACAACAGCCCTCAAACCTGCTCTATGCTGTGCCAATCTTACTGTCTCTGACACACCTACTTCCATTACCCCAGTCATTGAATCAATCCATTTCATTCTCTTCCTCTTCCGGGCTGTCCCTCTACCCTTTCAAGCATGATGTCCCTCTCCAAGGGCCTGTCCCTCCTGGCAACATGTGCAAAGTAGGTCAGATGAAGCTTCAGAATCCTTGCCCCCAAGGAGCTGCCTGGTCTCACCCTCTTTAGGATGAACTTGTTTGTTCTTCTAGCAGTCCATGGTATATTCAATACTCTTCTTCAGCACCTACCACAGCTCAAAGGCATCAATTCTCCTTCCATCATCTCTAGTCACTGTCCAGCTTTACGATGCATAACAAGTAATTGCAAACATCATGGCCTAGATCAGGCCTCAGTCTCAAGACTGACACCGTTGCTCATCAGAACTCCAGAGAGGTCTCTGATAGCGGACTTTTCCAACGCAATTCATCTTTTTATTTCCTGGATGCTGGTATCAAAAGAGTTGTTTGTGGAGCCAAGCAAACTAAAGCTGTTAGCAATCTCAGTCTCTTCACCATCCATCATGACGTTGCCAATCGGCTCAGTGGTGAGAATCTTTGATGTTGAGCTTCAATCTTTATTTAAGGCTTCAGTCCTTGACCTTCTGCAGCAAGTGCTTCAGGTCCTCCTCAGTTTTAGAAAGCAGGGTTGTGTTATCTGCATAACACAGATGGTTGATGAATCTCCAATCTTGATGTCACATATTTCCTCACAGAGCCCAGCCTCCTGGGTAATCTATTCCTCATAGAGATTAAAAAGGTATGGAGATACAGAGATTTAAATACTTAAAAACCACTATTTGTATGACAACAGCCCAGAAAAAGAGGTTCATAGCAAAATGGATTGCAGGAGGGGATGGGGGAGGGAAGAAATTAAGCAACAATGAATGAATGAAAAATCCAACTTTTCTGTAAACTTTCATTAAAATCACAATTAAAAAATAAAAGCAAATATACACTGATCCATTTTATTTAAATTCTAGAATCTTCAAGTAGAAAAAAGTAAGCCAGAATATTAACAGTAGTTATTTCTGATTCGTGAGATTATGGATATTTTATAATAGATGTTATAGTTTAAAAATGACAGATCCTACCTTTTTCACTTACATATTTATGAAAAATGTAATTTTCTAATTAAAGTATATACATCATGTTTATATCTTGAACTACCTTTTAAAAGGTTAAAAGGTAAATTTCCCTTTTTTTTCCTCCATGAAGAAACTCAAGACTAAATAAAGGAATACGTGATCATCTATAAAATAATATTTCAGGTATATTATCATCCATACAGGAGCTCTGGTGGTGCCGTCCCACAGAAAGCTATGCTGAGTAACCCTAAGGTGGCTTCTCTCCGGCACTTCAAAATTTACCGGTTTCTCTAGGGAAGAAAGCTGTGTAACCTCACCCCATACTATTTACAACTTCCAGACAGCCCAGTGGAGAGTCAGCTATGACTTGGTTTCAACTCAACAGCAATGAGATTGAGTTTTCATCATTCATAATGGTGATCCCCCCCCCCCATGGAACAGCATATTAGCTCATATGATATTTAGATCATCCCGTATGAATGCAACTCAGTGTCTTCCAGGTAACTGTCCAACAAAATGTGTTTTCTGAACAATAAACATGTTTAAAAGCGTTTTTTTGGTTTGTTTATAGGAAGTAACATATAAAATGCTGTACTGTTCTGTCTCTCACCAAATGATTCAACCCCGCTCTTCAAGGACCTCATGTCTGGGGCCTGAACACAGAAAACAAAGCCATATACTCTCCTACCTACCCCAGCTCCACTAGATTTTGATCTCTTAACAAGCACGTACTCTGTAGCAACACATACAAAGTACACCCTAAATGCATCATCTGAACAGCTGGAAAATATGAAAGAACATGCTCTTTTCCTTATTGATTCAGTTATTAGCTCCCTAATTACATCAGCCTGCCAGCGAATAGCTCTGAGAGCTGAAGAACTAAAAAGGCAATTTAATCAATGGAATATTCCACCAGAAGAACGGGTTGTACCTAGGAATCTGAAGTTCAAAGAAAAATAAGAGGACATTAGGGGGGTTGAGCCTCCAGAAGCAGGCAGCCTGGAAGAAAGTAATAACAACAAATCTTGTCATAGTTCTTTTTCTTTCTCTGTGGTCTCTGTTTCTAGGTTTTTAGTTGGAAAGGCAAAAGTATGACTTAGGGATGGATTGTTGAGTCTGTAGTTGAAAGTCTAATTTTTGTCCACACTTTTCTGTCCTATATTTTTGAACCAAGACCTCCATGATACGTTCTTCGAAGAAACACAAATTCAAAATAACTACATGGGGGTAATCAAATATACTAGTGAGAAGTGCTCTCCCCCCGGAAAAAAAAGAAAAGAAAAAAGAGAAAGAAAAAGAAACTCTTTCTGCTCTTTCTGGGAGCTTCTGAGTACTGTCTTGACTCTCAGGGGCCATCTGATCTTCCACGTTGAGGGTGGGATGGACTGGAACACATTTATATCAAAGCTGTCCCTGTAGACAAGTTCATACTTAAAGTCTAGCTCTCTTGATCCCCCCACCCAAAGCATATGGAGTCTGAGGTGCATTATGTTAAACTGTGGCTATGACTGATTTTTACCTTCCAAATACAGTGAGGCCAGACGGAGCTCAAAGCAAGAGAGTCTCTACATCTCTTTTACTAGATGCTACTATGGTAGAAGTGGAAAGATTTGATTAGGCTGTGTAGTTCTACAGAAAGATTTCTCTGGGTTGTAGAAATATTTGTGGTAGACAAAAGAGAGAAACTAAGGTCACACACAGGTGAATAGAGTTATTCCAATATGTGCCTACACTCCCACACTTACATAATGTTCTAGAATGTTCTCTCTTGGTCACTATCAGGGACAAACCAATCTCATTTCTTCTAAACTCTGAGTACACCATCAACAGCTCCATCACCAACTCCTCTCTTCCTCTGTCCTTTGTTGTGATCAAGCTGGACCTCCCACTCATGGTGACCCCACACACAATGTAATGATGTCCACTACCGCACGGTGTCCATGACCACTGGCTGATTTTCAGAGGTGCATTGCTAAGCCTTCCCTTCCAGTTCATCTTACTTAACCTGGACACTTTGGAGAGACCTGTTAGCATGACAGTAATACACAAGCCCTTCACTGACTGCCAACCAGTGGCTGTAAATGAGGTGCATACTAGTCAGTTGAGAGTTTTACCAATGTCTCTGTATAATCAGAAAGCTGGACAATGAATAGGGATGACAGAAAGAGAATTGTTGCCTTTGAGCTATGGTGCTGGAGAAGAGTCTTGAATATACCATGGACTGCGAGGAGAACAAACAGGTTCATTGTAGAGAGGGTGAGACCAGGCAGCTGCTTGGAGGCAAGGATTCTGAAGCTTCATCTGACATACTTTGGACATGTTTCAAGAAGGGAATCAGTCCTTGGTGAGGGACATCGTGCTTGAGAGTATGAAGGGACAGTGCAAGAGAGGAAGATGAAGACCCTTGATGAGAGAGATTGACTCAGT